GGCTTTAGATAACAATTTGATAGCCCTTTCCAAAGCTGCTTTGGAGAAAAGTCTTCCTGTATATATTGAAACTCCAATATGTAATGTAAACCGTGCTGTCGGAACGATGCTAAGCCATGAAGTTACCAAGCGATATCACCTCGCAGGACTCCCTGCAGACACTATTCATATCAAACTTAGTGGAAGTGCAGGGCAGAGTCTGGGAGCTTTTCTTTGCCCTGGCATCACATTAGAGCTTGAAGGAGACAGCAATGATTATGTTGGTAAAGGTTTGTCAGGGGGGAAAATCATTGTCTATCCTCCAAAAGAAAGCAAGTTTGACCCCAAGGAAAATATTGTGATTGGAAATGTAGCTCTTTATGGGGCAACAACTGGGGAGGCATATTTTAATGGGATGGCAGCAGAAAGATTTTGTGTCCGTAACTCAGGGGCCAAAGCTGTTGTGGAAGGTGTTGGTGATCACGGCTGTGAGTACATGACTGGCGGTACAGTTGTTGTCCTTGGAAAAACTGGAAGAAACTTTGCTGCTGGTATGAGTGGTGGCGTTGCCTATGTTCTTGATGTGGATTCAAAATTCCGATGTCGTTGCAATTCAGAGCTGGTTGATCTTGATAAAGTTGAAGAAGACGACGATATCATGACTTTGAAGATGATGATACAGCAACATCAGCGTAACACAAACAGCCAACTGGCAAAAGATGTTCTTGCAGACTTCGATAATCTTTTGCCTAGATTTATTAAGGTCTTCCCTAGAAATTATCAACGGGTTCTGGCAAGCATGAAAAAAGAGGAAGCTAACAAAGCAGCAAATGAACGTGCCATCAAGGAGGCGGAGGAGCAAGAAGAGGCAGATTTGAAGGAGAAAGATGCCTTTGAAGAGCTGAAGAAATTAGCAGCTGCATCTAAGGACCAATCCAGTCAGGTTAGTTCATTTACGAAGTTTCTGAAGGAGCTGCCTTGGAATTCCTGTATTATTTCATGATATTCCTGAGAAGATTCTATTTTTTCTATAGATGTAGCTTAGGGACCTTGTGGCACCTGACTTGTCCATTAATTGCTTTATTGGCCTTTGCCGGCCCATTTGGGTATTTAGTTGCCGTAAGAGGCTTTACAATAGGTTTTGCAACTTTACATATGCACTTTTGGTCTTCTACAGGTTGAAGAGGAAAAAACATTGAAGAGGCCCACCGAAGTTGCTGATGCAGTCAAGCATCGAGGTTTTGTTGCTTATGAGCGACAGGGCGTGTCATACAGGGATCCAGATGTTCGGATGAGGGACTGGAAAGAGGTTATGGAAGAGTCAAAACCCAGTCCACTCCTTAAGACACAGTCTGCGCGCTGCATGGACTGTGGAACTCCTTTTTGTCATCAGGTAATATTAATGCTGAAATGTGTAGTGATTGATGCACAATATGAATGCAAGCAGCCAAAATCTGATTTGATTATGTCATGAAAAATTTGTTGCAGGAGAACTCTGGGTGTCCTCTTGGAAATAAAATACCAGAATTCAATGAGTTAGTGTATCAAAACAGGTGGCGTGAAGCACTGGATAGGCTTCTTGAGACAAACAACTTCCCCGAGTTCACTGGTCGGGTGTGCCCTGCACCTTGTGAAGGGTCTTGTGTGCTTGGTATCATTGAGAATCCTGTTTCTATCAAGAGCATTGAATGTGCCATTATCGACAAAGCTTTTGAGGAAGGGTGGATGGTGCCACGACCTCCTTCTGAGAGAACTGGGTAAGCATTTCATCACTTGCTTGTACTGTACTGTCCCAAACCCCTGCCCCCACAATCCTACCTGTGCCTGCTTTTATTTTCTTTGGAGGTGCCCCTTTTTCTCATTTCCAATTGCTCCTGGTAACCGACTCTTTGCAGCTACTAAGTTGATTGTCTTTCAGCGTGTCCACTGTCAGCAGCATATTTTTTCAGCAAAAAGCTGTGCTTTTACGGATTATGTAGATGTTTTATTCTAAGAGTAGTTAAGCTTTGATAGATCGACATCTACGCTCTACCGTACATTACATCGATAGCTCATGTTCTAATTGTTCTCATTCTGACAGGAAAAGAGTCGCAATTGTCGGGAGTGGACCCTCAGGCTTGGCTGCTGCTGATCAGTTAAATAGAAAGGGTCATACTGTAACCGTGTTTGAACGTGCTGATAGAATCGGTGGTCTGATGATGTATGGAGTGCCCAACATGAAGACCGACAAGATTGATGTCGTTCAGAGGCGGGTTGACCTTATGGAGAAGGAAGGGGTGAAATTTGTGGTCAATGCAAATGTTGGAAATGATCCCATGTACTCCTTGGAGCGGCTTCGTGAAGATCACGATGCAATTGTTTTGGCTGTTGGAGCCACAAAGCCAAGGTGAGTACCATGGATCGCATCATATCGCCTTTGGTTCATTGTGCTTTCTGAATAAGTAATTGCTCACTCAAACTACTTGTTGACTCATTGGTAGGGACCTTCCTGTTCCTGGACGAGACCTCTCAGGAGTTCATTTTGCAATGGAGTTCCTTCATGCAAACACAAAAAGTTTGCTTGATAGCAATCTCCAGGATGAAAAATACATTTCTGCCAAGGGCAAGAAGGTGGTTGTTATTGGTGGAGGTGACACTGGGACAGATTGCATAGGAACGTCTATTCGGCATGGCTGCAGCAGTGTTGTTAATCTAGAGCTTCTCCCTCAGCCGCCACAAACTAGGGCTCCTGGAAATCCTTGGCCGCAGGTTTGATCATGTTTTATGTGGCAATGCACCTTACTCTTTCCCATGCATAGTTAGTCACTTCAATTAGCACGCTTGCACCTTACTGTTATTACCGTGGCAAATGCACCTTACATTTTCCGGCAGTCACTTCAATTAGCGGGGTTGCTTTATGTTTATCATGTGCATGACGGACAATTCAGAAGCAATATGATGTTTTGTCAGCTTAAATTAGAAGGATTTGCTCCTTATACTTTCAGAGGAAGTTTCTAGAATTGGCTTTATAGTCTGAATTAGGATTATAAAGTGATCATTAAACTTTTATTAACATTTTTCTTATTAACTTCTTGAATGTCAATTTGATATGTCCTTTCCATTTCTTGTTGGCAGTGGCCTCGTATCTTCCGTGTAGATTATGGGCATCAGGAAGCTGCTGCAAAGTTTGGTAAGGATCCGAGATCCTATGAGGTATTGACTAAGCGTTTCATTGGAGATGAGAATGGAAATGTGAAAGGGTTGGAGGTCATACGTGTACAGTGGGAGAAAGATGACAGTGGAAGATTCCAATTCAAAGAAGTAGAAGGCTCTGAAGAAATTATCGGAGCCGATCTGGTTCTGCTAGCTATGGGGTTCCTTGGTCCTGAATCGGTTAGTATCTTATGATTTCCATTTTCATTTCTTCATTTTTTTTGCTCTGATGAAATTCAATTTATATTTAATGGTTATTCTTGTGTTTGATCTTTGTTCAGACAATAGCAGACAAACTGGGACTAGAAAAGGACAACAGGTCTAACTTCAAGGCTGATTATGGACGCTTCTCTACAAGTGTGGAAGGGGTGTTTGCAGCAGGAGACTGTCGCAGGGGACAGTCTTTGGTGGTGTGGGCCATCTCCGAAGGCCGGCAAGCAGCTGCTCAAGTTGACAAGTTTCTCATGAAGGATGACGAGGACGACTTCACAGTTGATGTGGCTAGCCAACAAGAATTTGTCAAGAAGCAACAAGATGGCAGCAAGCAGCAGACAGTCGTGACATAAGACACTTGCAAAGCAAATGAATAAACGACACTATGAGGAGGCTGGATTAGGGATTCTCCTTCACATGATATCCAAATCCAAGAAAAGAAGCAGAGTAAATCGATTGCAGCGCAGCTTGAATATAGGATAGGATAATAGTTGATATTTTCTGATTCTTGGGAGTTTGAGGGTTGGGGGGTAGTGGGATAGTATTTGTTTTTTGCTGCATGTTGGGTGTCGATAAAGTTTATTATTGCCGTGTTGGTTGTTTGGAGGGTAGCTCCAGCACAGGCTTAGTGGAAAAAATAACATGTACAGTTCTCGTTTGTGCAAAATTTCCTTTGAAATTAATATTATGGGGGATTATTTCTAGTTTTAGGTGGTCCTGCACTTTAAGTTAAAGTATTTCGTCGATGCAACTCTTCTGAGCATTCACATACAGAAAAATCTTTTGTGAATTCATTCACTGTGTTACAGTTCTGTTTTCATATATTTATTCGACTTTTGAGACATAAACATAGAAATTGCAATAAAGTAGTTGGACGGAGGTCCGAAACTATTAGATATTTTGCTCGCACGAATAGTTGAGTGTCAAATTTTTTTGACGGCGAATTTTAGTTAGTTATTTTCAACCCTGACTGAATTGTATGAAAAATTAATGCTTATTCTCTTAAATAAACAAAAGGAATATAGTAAAGTAGTGAGATGGAGAAACAAAAGGCGGGTTTTTCTTCTTCAAATCCTACATATTTTGAGTCATATTCTTACTAGAGATGGTTAATAATCATTTCGTTGATAAGACTTTGCGTAATTAATTGAACCTCTGTCAATTGTAGCTGTGGATGTATACTTTGTTAAGGTAAAGCCCTTAGAATCCTACTTATATTTGAAGCTTTTAGTTATAACAAGAAGAGTAGGAGCAAGAAAGGTAAGTGGAAAGTTTAACTAATTCAATTCTTGACACTGCACTGTGTTTGAATGTAAACTCTGGGACATTAATCATTTAATGACACATTAATAGAACTCTCGGATATATAGATTTTTTATCTAATGTATGAATTGAAAGATTGTTATGTTGTGAGTAATAATATAAAAGATATTATATTACATTACTTATTTTAGGGACATTGTCTTTTCATATATGTAAATTGTTGATTACAATGTATTTATATCGATTACATTGTATGAAATGAACGAGCTTTCTAACAGATTTCTTCCAACTAACAACTCTAACTACTTTTTGAATTTCCAACTAACTGTTTTAACTACCTTTTGAATTCCCCAACCAATCGCCCTTCTAATAATCGTGTATCATTACTCCCTCCAATAAAAGATCCTTGCCCACAAGGATCAAAGAGTTGAAATCTGGTATGTAAAATAGTAGCAATTTCCTTCGTAGCAGCATCAGCAGGCAATCCTTGCCATTTGACTAGAACCTGTGCAACATCCTTATTGCCTCTTTTGATCATCCTCCTTTGCAAAATCAACTCAGGGTCAAGGCAATAAGGGCTTGCCAAATCAACAACTGGGGATAAGAGATTTGTGAGGGCACTTCGTGGCACTTTTTCAGCAAGGAAACATGGACTGTAGGATGAATTTTCACCCTAGCAAGTAGTAATAAAGTATAGGCCACTGGACTAATTCTTCTAATAATCTGAAATGGACCATAAAAGTTTGCAGCTGATTTGTGTGAGAAATGATTTGAAATAGTTACTTGTTTATATGGTTGGACCTTCAAATAAACCCGATCTCCAACTTCAAATTGTCAATCACTTCTATGAGAATCTGTTGTTGCTTCATCCTAAGTTGTGCTCTTCTCAGATAATGCTTAAGCAGCTGTAGCTTGAGCTCTCTATTGACCAATGTATTGTCTACTTCAGCAGAAGCTGATTCTCCTAGTATATATGGTAAATGCAAAGGGGGTGGTCAGTCATATAATGCTTCATAAGGGGTGGTCTGAATGGCAGAATGGAAGCAAGTGTTATACCAATATTCAGCCATTGGTAAATAGGAGAACCAGTTGTTAGCATCCTCACTACAGTAGCATCTCAATTAAGTTTCAAGGCTTCTATTCAGGACCTCAGTTTGCCCATCAGATTGAGGGTGATAAGCTGATGAGGTGTGCAGCTGTACTCCTTGGAGTGTGAATAGCTCCTGCCAGAATGAACTCAAGAAAACATCATCCCTATCATTTGTAATAGCATCAGGCATCCCATGTAGCTTAACTATTGTGTCAAGAAAAACCTTAGCAACTGACTGAGCAGTGTAAGGGTGTATGAGTGGAATGAAATGACCATATTTGCTTAGCCTGTCTACTACTAATAGGATTACTTTACATCCATTCGACTTGGGCAACCCATCAATGAAGTTCATGCTGATCTGTGACCAAACTACATCTGGTATAGGTAGTGGTTGCAATAGACCTGGGTTAAGCAACCAAGTCTGATTTGTTCCTTTGACATACATCACATTTTTGGACAAATTTCTTTATGTCCTTCCTCATATTCTTCCAGTAAAACAATGTCACCAACCTCCTTAATGTAGCTTCAATCCCTGAGTGACCACCTTGAGGACTAGCATGCCAAGCTTTCATGATTGCCCTTCTTAGTTCTGGAACTTTCTCAATCACCAGTATGCCCTTCCTCCTTGGTTGGTCTTGAGTCCAGTGAACTGTTTATGAGCAACAAGATTATGTTGAAGTTCTATAATAAGTTGTTGAAGCTCAAAATCTGAACTCCAACTGGATACTATGTTTTGGAACAGATCTATGTTATGAGGTGATAGCATTAGTGCTAATAGTTCAGCACCAATGACCCTTGAGAGAGCATCAACTACTTTATTCTCCACTCTCTTCTTGTATTCTATAGAGTAGTCAAAAGGCATCAATTTTGTTAACCATATCAGTTGAGAATTAGTGTGCGATTTCTGCTCCATAAGGAACTTCAGAGCCTTCTGATCAGTCCTTATAATAAACTTCTGTCTCAGCAGGTATTGTGACCATTTAGAAACTGCATGAACAACATCTAATAGCTCTCTATCATAGACAGATAAGGTAGCATGTCTAGGTGACAGAGCTTTGCTAATAAAGGCTATTGGATGCCCTTTTTGCATAAGCACTGCCTCTATCCTATAGCCACTTGCATCAGTCTCCACAATGAATGTCTTGCTGGCATCAGGTAAAGATAAGACAAGTGCCTGAGTAAGTGCCTCCTTCAATTCTGCAAAGGCTACATCAGCTACTTGTGACCATTTGAAATTGTTCTTCTTGGTTAATTCAGTTAATGGTTTGCAAATAATACCAAAGCCCTTGACAAACCTCATGTAGTATCTAACTAGGCCTAGAAATCCTCTCAACTATTTGAGAGTGGTTGGTGTAGGCCAATTCATCACAACTGCTATTTGGTGGGGATCAGTAGAGACTCCTTCAGCTGTAATAAAGTGACCTAAGTATTCAATTTTGTGGACTCCAAAGAAACACTTGCTCCTCTTAGCAAATAATTGATGCTTCATCATCTCCATAAAATACAGATATTAGGTGGATCAAATGATCTTCCATAGTGTTGTTGTAGATTAGGATATCATCAAAGAAAACCAGTACATGCTTCCTAAGAAACTTGTGAAAGAAAGAGTTCATTAATCCTTGGAAAGTTGCAGGAGCATTTGAGAGGCCAAAAGGCATAACCAGGTATTCAAAATGACCTGAGTGAGTTCTCAAAGCTGTTTTGGGCACATCCTCCTTTGCCATTCTAAGTTGATGGTAGCCTGACCTTAAGTCTATCTTAGAAAAGATTCTGGATCCCCCTAATTCATCTAACAAGTCTTCCACAATTGGAATGAGAAACTTGTTCTCCATAGTATGTTTGTTTAGATCTCTATAGTCCACACAAAGTCTCCATATACTATCTTTTTTTCCTACCAAGATCACTAGTGATGCAAATGGACTACATCTAGGTTGTATGATGCCTTGATCAAGCATCTGCTGTACTAGGCCCTCAATGATATCCTTTTTCACAGAAGGATATCTATAGGGTCTTTTATTTACAGGTTCAGTGCCACTTTGCAACACAATTCTATGGTCAAATACACCTCTAGAAGGAGGTAGTTTATTATAGGGCTAGGCATATATCGGGTAAAATCGATAATCCGAACCGTTAATTTATTATTGGGTTATCAGTATCGGGTTATTGGGTTAACGGTTCGGTAAATTTAAATTTTTTTCACTATTGGATTATCGGTTTGAGCCTCGGTTTGCCAATTTTTATTAATGGGTTAACCGATAACCCAATAAGAATTAATAAAATTATGACTTAACCTTAAGTATATACATATGCTAGGGCTTTAGTTCATTCTCTCCTATTCTTTCTCAGCCGCACTCTTCAGTTGCTTCATCTTCATTCTTCATAAACCTTACTGGTTACTCCTACCGTAAGTCTTTAGTCTTATACATTAGGCTTTTAATTTCTATAACAAAGTTCATCTTCACATAGAGATTGCTCTATGGTTTCTTTTTTAGGTTAGACATTTGACAAACAACATCCATATTATATTGGACTGTTTGAGGGCTTCAACGCTTGTGGAAGTGCATGTATTGTGTGAAATAAAAATTCTAAATCAACTATTATTGTTATTGTAGACATGTGATTTTTGACCCTCCCCAAGATTTTTTATATTTTAGCATGTAAATATTTAATTTAGGCCTAATATAGCTATTTCAGCTATTTTCGTCATAAAAATGGAAAATTACGAAAAAAATATATTTTTAGCTTACGTGTCTTTCATAAATTTAAATAAAAATATACAAAAATAGTACTTATTTTTATCTTTATATAATTTTGAAAATAAAAAATATATAATAGTTTCATGTTAGCCTTTGGCATGTGGTAGTATTTTTATCTTACTTTAAAATGAGTCAATTAAAGTGTTGGATCATAATTTTAAGAGTTTTAGAACCCAATTCTTGTCCCAATTCGGATTAAGCATTAAGTCTAGGGACCCTTCTAGACTCTTCTTTGGAATAAAAAAATAAATAAAGAAGATACTAAGGACTTAACAAAAAAGACCTGTGAACTAATGGGCAAAACACACAAAAATACACCTAAACCTAAATTCTACCTATAAATTAATGCTTAAAAAAGCAAAAAAGAAAAAGGCCGAAGAAAAACACACAAGAGCTGCGCAGCAAAAATACACGAGACCCACCCCCCTGACCTTATCTTCTCCGCAGACCCCACCCCCCCGACTGTGTCTTCTCCAAACGACCACCCCTGAACTTCATCTCCTTCACCTCTCAATCACCAAACCAATAGCTGCCGAGCTCCATCACCACCACGACCACACACACACACACACGATACTCCTTCACGCACATCTCACTTTATCCAACCAACAACTAGAACTATTTCTGGAAATCAAGTCAGATCTGAAACTCAAACAGAGCTTTTTTAAAAGAAAAAAACAAAAGACAAAAACAGAGACAAAAGGAGGATTTGAAAGCTGTCCGAACTTCCACTCTTCTACTTAAGCTTTCTGAAATTCGAGTGGCATTTGAGTTGTAGAAGTGTTGTTCGATCGCTGAATCGACTGCTATTGTTTCGTTGAGGTTTCTGGTCGTTCTGTCCGTGTTTAGCTTCGTCGGCCTGAGTTTCACGGGCAGGAGGTTCTTTGAAAAATTGAAAGTAATTCAGGTTCTCTTTTTCTCCTCTTCACTGTTTGTTCATCCATTGACTGTATTAATCAGTTTTTGTGTAATTATTCGATGGCATGAAATTCTAGTACATTTTATGGAGCTTAGATCTTTGAATCTGATAATTTCTCTGTTTCCCGAGATTATGGTTTGGGTTTGTTGCTGTCTTATTTTGTTCATAAAAGTTCAAAGAGTTTTTGGGGAATCTGGAAATTACAGTTGTTAATGAGCGGATTGTTTGGGGTTTTAAGTGAGAATAAGGGTTGGTTTTGCTGAAATTTGCGAGAAATTAGATTAATAACTTTAACAGCAGATTTTCTCCTCTAATCCGAGGCTCCTGCTTTCGTGCCTCTCCGAAATTTGATCTGCATTTGATGGCACGACTCAAAAGTTAGAATATCCAAACTCAAGCATTCATTTTATGACTTAGTATTCAGCAAAACAGTGGTAGAACAATTACTTTGACCATCTGTGCCTTTTGATTTATGTCTCACATCTTGGAGGGGAATCCTAAAAATGTAGTTGACAAGTAATCTATTAGCATTAACTACATGTGCTCATCTTTCTCGCACTTTTTAAGGAAATATGCAACCAGTCACAAACGGCTCCTAATAGGAACTGTTAACTGCACCTATTTGCTGTATAGTTGATGTTCAGAACTCGGCCTTCCTAAGAATAACTAGCAAGAATAATGAACACTTGTGATTGTGTACACGTTATAATTACGATTCGTTAAGGATAAATCGAGGTGTGTCGTGCCAAATAAAATCTCAAAATGCATGACCCTCATTTAATTGATCCAGAATATCTAAATCCTTAGAAATCGAGGCATGCCATTTAGTCGAATTTTCATGGCCCTCGCAAAGTTGAAAGAGCGTCGCTGCTTTAGGCGCGTTATTTTAATAATATTACCTTCCTAAATTCGGGTGCGCATAATCCAAATCTCAACAATGTTAGATAAAATATGGTGCGGACCATGGGTGCATTTATGTGACGTGGTTCAAGACGTATTTTTGATAATGTTGAATTTTTCTTAAAATTAATTGAACAAAAGCGGTTAAAAAGTTAAAATTGCACCATAGGCTGAAACATGTACTAAAATCAGATAATTAAGCCAAATATAACAGTTGAGCGACCGTGCTAGAACCACGGAACTCGGGAGTGCCTAACACCTTCTCCCGGGTTAACAGAATTCCTTACCCGGATTTCTGGTTCGCGGACTGTAATACAGAGTCAATCTTTTCCTCGATTCGGGATTTGAACCGGTGACTTGGGACACCATAAATTATCCCAAGTGGCGACTCTGAATATTTAAATAAAATAATCCCGTTTCGATTGTCCTTTAATTGGAAAAACTCCCTTATACACCCTTTACGGAGGTGTAGGTAAAAAAGGAGGTGTGACAGTTATCATATCGGAGGAGGCAGCTAATGCCTTGGAACATTTTGTGGGAACTGTTGCAGTTTGATAAGTATTTATTCACTGATTTTTTGGTGAAGCCTATAAGGATTGAGTAGTTGTTGTCTTGTTAACTTGAATTGGAACTGTTAGTACAATATGTTTGGAATTGTTAATTTTAAGGTGAAATTGCTACTACTTTGTATTATTATTAATGTATTTGGATAACTATTGTTGAAGAATTAGTATTATTCCAGTTGTGGCCACTGGACAGAACGCAAAAATGAGTAGTATACTATATGTGAATTCTTCTCTTTTTTGCTTAACTCGAGTGAATTGTCTTTTTTTTTTTTTGCTTAACTCTAGATTGAGTTATCTTATCGGGTAAACCGAAAACCGAACTGATAATGATCGATAACCGATTAACCGATACCCGATACCCGATATCTTATCGGTTCGGTTATGCTAAACTGATAATATTCATAACTGAACCGAATCGACCGATGCCTACCCCTAGTTCATTAGATTCCTCAAACAATTTAGAATACTCAGATAACAATTGAGTTAGTCTAACATCTGTTTTAGGTTCTTCTTTAGCCTTAAGTGCATGCCACTGTTCTCCAGTACTCCATAGGCACTACTTGAATCATGCATAACTGAGAAGTATTACTTGTATGTTTGGCTATCTTTCCAGCTTCTTGAACCTTGACTTGGTTGTCATCTCCTCTCAAAAGATTCTTTCTTCCTCTGTACTAAAACTCCATGGTTAGCTTCCTGAAATTTATTTTTATATCTCCTAAGGTTAGCAACCATTGCACTCCTAATACTACTCCACAAGAACCTAGTGGTAGTAGTAGGAATTCTGCTGAAAACTCAGCACCTTGCAACAACCATGTGATGGTACACATTCTGTCCACCATCATATTCCCATTAGCAGCAGCCACCATTTGAAGAGTAGTTGATCTGATCTTACATCCCAAGTGATGAACCAAATCAAGATCTATGAAATTATGTGAACTCCCAGTATCGATCAATATGTTCAAGGCCTTTTTAGCATGATACCTAGTCACCTTCAAAGTTCTGTAGCCTAAAAAACCATTTAGAGCATGAATGGAAATCTCCATCTGCTCTATGGATTGAGCTGGTTCTAGTTGATTGAACTCTTCCTCTTGCAGTATCAGTTCGCCCTCCACCTCTGTGTCATGTACCTCCTCCATTCATTCTAACTCTAATATATATATCTGCTTGGCATTCTTACACTTATGCCCAAGTACATACTTCTCATTGCAGAAGTAGCATAACCCCTTTGCCCCTTTTTATTCATTTCTTCTAGACTTAGTGTTCTTCTACTGAATCCTTTAGAAATCCCAACATTACCTTGGCTAGGAGTTGGTAGCAATGATCTGCTATTATTCCTTTGATCCATGATCTTTCTGGGAGCATTGCTTGATGCATAGCTGACTAATGAAGGTTGTCTAATAGCAGCTAAATAAGCCTCTTGCATCCTAGCAGTTTTGTACACCTGAGATAAGGTAGTGGGATTGGTGAGTTTTACTGCAATATTCAACTCATGTTTCAGTCCACCAAGAAAACAACTGATGGTATTCTGTTGTGACAGATTAACTCTTGTGAGATTTCTCTCAAAAACAACTTGGTACTCCTTGACAGTATCAGTTTGCCTGATCTTCTTGATTTCTTCCATATGATCTTCAAAGTCGACTCCAAATCTTTCCACCAATGCCATCACATACTCGGTCCATGTAGCTGGTTGGAGATATTGTCTATACCTCATAAATGCTAGATGCCACTGTATAACTTCGCCTTCTAACCGCATTGCAGCCACCTTCACTCTTTCTTCAGCAAGAACCTTCTCCATGGAAAAGAATTGCTCAATTTTGAATAGCCATGACTTTAGATCTTCCCCATTAAACCTCAAGAATTCCATCCTCGACCACCTTGAAAAATTGGAATTGTGATGGTTATAACTGGCAGGGCTCTTTTCTCTTGGTGACCTTTCATCAGATGGTTCGCCTTCATGTTGTATAGGAGTCTTATCCCTTCGATTTTCTCCAGAATGAGTCAACTGTTCCTTGAGTTCTAGAACAGTCTGGTCTAGACGTTTCAGATTGGAGACTTCTTCAGCTAAAGCCCCAACATCTACGACTAATTTCTGCATCAATTCACGCAGGTCAGCTGGTTCTTCAATTGAGTTATCAGTCGATCGAGTGCCCTTTGCCATGGTTCCAAAGATCGAAAGCTCTGATACCAATGTTACGCGATTGCATGAGTTTAACTAACTCGAGAATCACAAGGTTGATTCAAAAATAGCTCGAGAAATCAACTGTAAATGAGTGCAGAGAAGAAAAAGAAGGAAGAAGAAAAAAAGAGAGTAGAATAGGAATTGTATATCTTTTCATATATGTAAATTGTTGATTACAATGTATTTATATCTATTACATTGTATGAAATGATCGAGCTTTCTAACCGATTCCTTCAGCTAACCGATCTCTTCTAACTAACAGCTCTAACAAACTTTAACTAACTCTAACTACTTTTTGAATTCCCATCTAACTGTTTTAACTGCCTTTTGAATTCCCCAACTAACTGCCCCTCTAATAATCGTGTATCAGTCACCTTTATTCTTTGAATACTTATATCCAAAGGCGGATGCAGAGTCGAGGGATAACCGACAAGCGAAAACTTTGGCAAAAACTCCATATATACTTGTAAATATCTTTAAAAAATAATTGGATATTAGCATATAAATTTATATTAAATGTTATGGTGCCTCGCCAAATCATGTGTCTGCGTCTGCCTAATATAGATGTATGTTTATTATGCATCTATCCCAAATTATCGGGATTATCTTTTATAATCCCTCGTATAACTAAATATATGAGCTGCAAAACATCACATGTTTGAACTGTGGTTCCTTCAAAGCCACGATCATCCATTAAATAGTGTTTTGAGGTTTGGCGGTGTGGCTGCTTTCCCGCGATTAAACCCATCACTGATTGTAAATTGACCTCATTTGTTTCCACCAAATCAGCTCATCTTTTTCAGTATAGAACTGAAAAAAAGACAAAGGCGGTGAATAGAGGGAGGCGAAGATCGAACGCGCAGCATACTGAAAGGTGAATCATTCAGCCAATTGCTATTTCGAAGTTTTTTCCAGAGATTTTCCCCCAAAAACCCTAGCTTTCAATTCCTACAACTGCTTCATAAAATTCTTCCGATATGTCTTCTTCTTGCATGTCCACTTTCTCTTTTTCATTTGGCTTGTAGCTAATTGATTGCAGAATATGAAGATTGCTCATTTTCAGCTCTTTTATTCCTGGGTTTTCCCTAATTTTTTGTTGTATGTGGTAGTTTACAAAAGTCACAACCGTTTCATTCTTGGTGATTTTAGGTTTGACTAAACCTAAACAATTACTAGCTATTTGACGGTTTCTCTTGTTTGTTATGTTCTTCTTCTCAATCCATTAACAGATCACTTTGTATAAGTATATTACATTTCATCAAACAGTGTCTTCGTTAAGAGAATTTTTTTTGTCAAATGGTGGTCTAAATAGTATGATCAATTGCGATATATTGCAGTATCTT